TCTGCAGCACTCAGGGTACTTTGTTTACTTAATGCAAAATCAATAAGTTTATTTCCAGGACAGTAATTCCAACATTCTCTTGAAATAGCTGCCTAATTTTTATAGTCAAGTTCAGATGCTCGCTGCAAAAGAATCTAATAACAACCCACAAAAGAAGAAACTGCCTATCAGACAAACATGTTGGAACGGCCTGCAGAAAGCTATAGACTTGTCAGACCAACAATTCACTGCACATCTGTGTCTGCCAACATGGAATTTACTCAAAATTGCCTCTCTAGACACTTCTTTACATAACACATATTTAGCTTATTAGTGCTGTCATTTGGGAGTGTGGTCAGCTTTTGAGCAAAGTCTCACTGAGTCCATTAGCTGGGATCGCATCACAGCTGCCATTTTAGGATCACGATGATTAGGTTTGAAGTTCAAATGATTTGATTTCACTTTAAAGCTTCAAAAGCAGCCTCTGGGGTAGATTTACGCAATTAATTTTTACTGAGGTCTGCTGGGTAATTCACTGTAGTCAGAGAATCTTCACTAAGGTAAGGTAATTACCACTGGGTAATTTTACAGCACTCTGTTCAGTACGAAGCAACGTGTCGGCTGACCTGCTCAGATAAGACCTGGAAAAAAGTGAAGATGCTGCTTTTGGGAATCAAAATGTGCATGAGACATTGGGGAGGGATGAGAAGAATTCTCTCACTTCCCAGATGTGGACCAGAAGCTGTACATGCCCTCAAAATGTCTTTTCAGGATGGTGCATGAGGAGTTACAATCCTGTAAATATTGTACTGAGAAGCTTTCAAAATTGAAGTACTGTACCCATGATTCTTTAAAACAGGAACAAAGAACACAGTCTTTGTTTAGTTTGAACACAGAAGTAAACAATGAAATTAAACATCCCTTTGAGATTTGTATTTATCACTTACAAGAAACACTTCCTAATAATCAGTGGCAGCTAGGCTGACAAGCAGACCTCAGAGCAAAACCAGAGGGGATACAAGTCTATTTTAGGTTTACTATTGACAGTAAGGGTCAGAGGAAAAATAAACTCAGCAAGCAGTGTCATGCTACCACAAACCTCTGCTGGCCAAGCAGAAACTAAATTACAACCAAACATTTCAGCACGACAGAAACACTTGGGCAATTGGGCTGCCCTGCAGTGCACAGAGCACAACACACACATGAACAAGATTAAGCACGAGTGAGACACAATATAAATTAGTAATAAAGAAATCAAAAGATTGGAGGAGCTAATTATCCTATACTCTGGAGTGGGGTACATTATGCTTACCCCTATTATTTTAATATTTCAAGTCTGCAAAATTAATCTGGAAAGTCCTGTGAAAACAAGGACTGATCATGCTCTCCTCCAAGATATCCTCCTTTTAGTCAAGGTATAAATAATATAGATAATATCAACTACCAGACTGAACTTTAAGAATAAAAAAAAAAGAGCAGCAGCAGGACTTAGATGCTATTTCTATCACATACATTTTATTATATATTATAAGTATATAATAAAAGAAAATAAAAATATTTTTATTGTAAAAGTTAATCCTCAGCTTCATTTCATGTACTGTAGTATTTCTGGGGAAAGCTGATTTGATTGCTGCATCATACTAATAAAAACTAAAATTTGTGTAAGGGGAAGAAGAGGGAATAAAGCATATTCCATATCAATATTGCTTCTGATGGATTTCATTTTGTTAAGTTTACTTCCTACTACAGCTGATGATAAAAGCAGCTGTGGGGACTCAAAGGTACCTCTATCTACATCTCTCCATGGACTAATTACAAATATCTGTTCCACATAGTCTCAGTATCTAAGACAGATTTAATTTTATTCTATCTTTCACTAGGCATAAATAAAAACCTGTCATTCCAACCACTATTTTGCTTTCTTTTTTCTCCACCTATCATCCACTGGATGCAAACACAATCCTGTAATTCCCACTGTTTTGTTGTTTTCCTATTCTTTGTGGGTTTGTTTGTTTGTTTGTTTGTTTGTTTGTTTTGATGGAGCCACAAATGTTTTGTCCATTGTCAGGGGCCAGTTGCTTGAAACAAAGAACACTTTTCAAATTTCAAGCATAATTATACAGGACAGAAATGGCCAGACAAGTTCTTATGGCCTTTCTCTTTTAACTGGTGATGATACACTGCTAATTCATAGGGAGCATCTGTGTACTACAAATAAAATTTTTCAGATTTTAAGAAAGTGTTTAAAAATCAAGTGCAGTTCTAGTGGGTGATACCTCATCATTGCTCATCTGTTCTCTGCCAAAATGATGCTCAACTGTGCTGTTCTGCTTGGCCATTTTAAGGTACTTGATTATCATTCTCCCATAGTTCTCTGCTCATCTGATACATCTCTGGGGCATTCAGAACAAGTGCCCTGCTTGTGGCAATGCCGCACTACTTGGTTGTAATTTTGGAGCCTACGGGTTAACAAATTCTCCTGACTTTTCTCCTGAAGTCCCAAAATTCATCTCTTTTGCCAGCACTACTTTGAACTGCTGCAAGGCGGCACTGAGGATAAATATTGGGTCAGGTTCACTGGGTGCTGTGAGCATGCTTCTCATTAACACAAACAGAATGTCTCTTGTATGTTTGAAGTCTTATGGATTGATGGAAGAAAGCACATTCCAGTGACTGCAGTAACACCCACAGTGGTGGTGAGCAACACCAGGAGAATAAAATCAAAGGGCCCAGTTCCAGTGCAATGTGCTCCATTCAGTGTATTTGGGATTGCTCTAGTAAATAATTTTTCTCCTCTTTTTCATTCAAGGCTCTCTGATGAAGAACATCAGCAGTTCCCTGAATCTTCTCTCTTTTTAAAAAGCTTCCTTTTGAAACTTGCCCAGTATTAAGACTTCTGAGTATGTTAACCATGGAGCTGTAGGTGGTAAGGAAAAGGACGATAACAGGCTGTTCTTACTCTCCTTGTCACCAAATAGAATACTTCTTTCTCCATAGCTTTAAGTGGTAGTTCCACTCTCTCTTCTAAACTTCAGTTTCTTTTGGCACATTTCTTACTTCTCTTTCCATGTGTGATGACTCTATATAAGTGCTGAAGAATATTAAATTGCTTGGTGGAAAATTAATGGAGCAAGGAGGAATGATAGAGAACATTCACTTATGCGTTGTGGCTTTTGATAAGTTGGCAGTCTGAGTGGGCAATAACATGCAGCACATGAGTAATTGTAAATTACTCAAATTGCAGTTTGGCCTTTTTAGAGAACTTCAGTGAACCCAGAGAAGAGAGAAAAGGGTCTTGTTCAAAACATGAAGCAACAGGCACAGAGGAAGGTATTTAGCAAGGTAGCGTCTTGCTACCAAGGGTGTAAACTGGAAGGAAACAATAAATATTCAAGAAGCTTTATATATTGCTTCTTTGCCTTATGATGCTCATGCAAAGCAGAATCCTGCCTTTACCTTCAATCACATTACATGGCAACCACCACGGCTAAGTTTACACCTTGTGTAGCTTGTGTCTTATTTCTGTATCTACTGTTCCATTCAATTTGGTTCATCTCCTGTGGTGCCAACACCTTGAGCAGGGCACTGAAGGAAGAGCAAGAAATTTGGAAGTGAAGGCATGGGCAAGTTCAGTGGTTGATGGTTGCGCAAATTTAGAATTCAAGGAAATAAAGCTGTTGAGGATCCACATTTCCAGCACAGATGCATTTGAACACATTAAGGGAGGTGTTTAATAGTCATTTGGTGAAGAAAGGTTCTGACCTCCCTCATTAAAATGATGGGTAGAATGTTTCAGAAAACGTTTTTATCATGTATGCTGAAATTTTAGCACATATGGTAATCCACATATTCTTCATTTTCAGACTTTTGTGCAGATGGAATTTTTAGCAAAATTGTCAGCTTCCATGCATCAAGGGGTTTTGCCATCACTGCATTTCACATGTGCTACAAGTCTTAAATGCTTATAGAAATATCCCTGTTTGGAGACAAGTTACATATGCCAGCAGTCCTTGACATGGTTATCTTGGGAACTAGTTGCAGTTACTGAATGCTTGTCTGCTTTATGGACAACCCTGTCTGCTTTATAACAGGTTGATTACACCTACCCTAGAAAACAGATTCATGAAAGGTCTGCTCCCTTCCCCTGTTCTGACATTATTTTGCAGGTGTCTGGTTTTGCTAGCTGGCAGTGAGATGTACAGGTATTCTGCAGAAATCCAAATAGCTGCACCCTGAAGAATGGTGGACATAATGTAAGTGCATAGGAAAATGTCAACTGATGGTGAAAAGGTGTTCTCTTGAGACTCTCACAGTTTATAAGTGAAAAGAAACACGGACTCAAAGGACAACATGACTTGAGAGTAGGGCACACACATAAAAAGGCAGGTTCATTCAACTTTGAAACAACACACTGTGGAAAACATCAGGTCAGAAATGCTATTTGGAAAGAAAAAAAAAGCCAGTATATAAAGATACAAAACAACTGAAGTTTGGATTATCTAGATAACATCCTGTGCAGACCAAGCCTAAACATAAGTTCTAAAGGGCTATTCCTTCTGGACTTGTGTTATTAACAACATTACAGAGTTTCATTGGCAGAATTCAATATTATTGAGGCAATCTTCTGCAAACTTCGCTTATCTATACCCTTGTTTCAAGTTTCTAGATACTTTCAAGGAAAACTGGGAACTAGGATGTTCTTGATGTTTAATAACATTTTCACATTGCTTCAATGATAAACAAAACAGACAAAAGCATTTTCTCTCAACTATTTCTCAAAGCAAACCAAAAACTTAGTCCCACAGTGCTTTCACTGGTAAAGCTTTCATTAAACTTTTTAGAGTAACTCCTGTAAAAATAAAATAAACCTCCCCAAACCAACCAAACTAATATAAACCACAGAATCTGGCTAAAAAGAAAGACGTTGTCTATCCGCACAATACCAGAGAATTTTCCCCCAGCAGAAACTCTGAAACAAAGCAGAACTATGAAAGCAAGCACTTATAACGTGTATTACTTACAGTGTATTTCTAGAACCTGCATTGCTATCTGAGGTGTCGAGTTTAGGGACTCGTGATCTACTCTGCAACTTACAACTGCACCATCATCACTGCGATCCGCTAAGAAATCCAGCGTGCTGCTGACTGTGAATGTTTTGCGGTTTGCATCTTCCTCTTTTCGATATTGAACGTCTGAAAGAAAGAACAAACAAATGGTTTTCTCTTCAATAGTTTTAGGAAAAGTAGTACCAGCATCAGACAGCTAAATTATCTATCAGACTTGTGGAAAAAAAAACAAACACGTCTTTTCTATCTGTATCGATCTCTCTGATATAAAAGTAATGAGGCCGTAGTTATTCCTCATTTTCTGTCATTGTCATATCAACAGATTGAAAGAGAAAGTTTTAAAATTGGTTCCATGATACTGCATTCAAGCAGAAATTGCATTCACTTTTATCTCCTAAATGTTTAGGTCCAAATTTGATATAAATGTTCTCTGCAGGTCACCAGAAAAAAATGTGGTCTCTTCCTACCCTCATTATCTTACATATTCACTGTGCCACTAAATATTAAATTTTCTAAGTTCATGTTTACAATCTTTCTTTCATTCTTACTGAATGAATATTACTGAAGGCATGTGCAGGTAGTCAGATTAATCCTGTGCTTACTTTATTCCTTGCTTATTCTGTTGTTTGGTTAGAATTATGCTAATTTCTGAATAAAACTAAACCAAGGTATAGTCATCAGTGGTTATGAACAACTGTAAATAGAGCATGTCATAGTATTTACTGGAATCTACAGACAAGTCCCAAGAAGACGAGAAATAAAATTGCTTCAGAGACCTTACACTGACTGTTTTATATCCAATTCTAAATTGACCTATTGCTTTTGTGCAGATTCAGTTAAAAATCTGACAGTTTTCAGCCCAGGGACTAGAGTGCAGGGAGTCTACATCTCTGCTTAAGAAGTATCAACTAAGCTCAAAGTTAAGATTCAAATTCAGAACATTTCATTGTAGGACATACACGCTAGAACTGAAGATCCAAATATTTATGCTAAAATATTTTAATGTTTTAACTGCAATGTGAGATCTTCTCAAACATACTTTAGAGTTGTTTTACTTGGTTTCCAGCTACTTATAATACTTATTGATCTTAGCTTATTTCAGAAAAATGGTAAGCTTGTTATATTGATTTATTGCAATGAAAGCTTGAAAAGACATACATATATAAATACTTAAACATATATATAAAATTACACTGAGATTGCATATATCCTCTGTGTCCTGAAAAAAAAGTGAGAGTTTCTGTTTTACAGATTGTAGTAAATCCCACTAGAGAAGAAGATGACCTGAATAAAATTTCCATGAAATATCAATTTTAGAAAGCAAATCTTCAATGGCTTAAGCTACACCTTTTTAGATTAAAAATACCTCTGACATCAGAAAGGCAGTCCTTTTCATTGTCTCCAGACAGATGAAGACACCATGTAGTTATACAATTTCCATTTTTCACGAAGAAATAATTATTTCTTGCATTTTTCTGCCTGTTTGTTGCTAAACTTTAAAAGATTTCAATTTCTGCCGTGGTCACTACTAATGTTTAGGGACCAGTAGATGAGGGAAATATTGACAAGGCTAAAGCAAAATTATTATAATCAAACAACAAACGTCTTCACTAATATTTAAAGTAAACACATGAGCTTTTGTTCCCAGAGTTAGGATTCCAAATTTAATAATAAGCACCTATAGAGGTAGCCTTCTGCTTATAAGCAATGTACACATTCCTTTGCTTACTGTCTTCAGGGAGAGGACAGAAGGCCCCTGAAAACAACGGCAACTTTAATTTTAGCGAGAGGTTGTGAATTCCTAATCCTATAGAAACACAAAAGCAGGTAATTTCCTAAATGGGTGTTTAGAAGTCTTTCTCTAGGCATCTATGGTTTGGAAGAGTTCAACTCTTGGAGTTAACCACCTCTGTAAAAAGGGCAGTGATACTATTCTATAATCTGTTGACATCCTCATCAACAGAAATAATTAGCTTGTCCTCCTCATCAGCTGTATTTTCTCAGATGTCCCTTCATAGAGAAATGAAGGTGGGATTGTGATATGTGCTACCTGAATGTAAACTCACGTGGATGTAAGAGCACTGAAGATCAGGTACTGGGTATGTTACCATTCAGAATATTTACCCAGGGTTTTTACAAGAATTTTTAAATATGTCAGTTGCAGTCCATTCTTTTGTTTATTTTCTTGCTCTCTCCTAACACTCCCTTGAAAAAAGGTTAATAAAACCCCCCAAAATCCACTACAAGAGCACTTTCTCCAGAAAAAACCATAATGGAACAGGTTGGGGGATGGCTAAATACAGAGTAGCTTTATAGAGGAGGAACTAGGGGTCTTGAGGACAAGTTGAGCATTAGACAACAGTGTGCCTTTGCAGGGCTGAAAGCTGAAAAATAACTGTCTTGCATTAATAATAGCACAGCCAGAAAGTCAAGGGAAAGTGATTCTTCTCCTCTATTTAGGACTTGTGTGACTGCATCCAGAGCACCAGGCCCAGCCTGGGGCCTTTTTTTGGTACAAAAAACGTGTCAACAAACCTGAGCAGGTTCAGCCCAAACCCATGGAGATGGCCAGTGGAGAGAGCATACAATGCACAAGGACAGCTTAAGATAGTTGAGATTGACTAGCCAGAGAAAGAGAAGACTAAAACCAGATCAAAAAAAGTACCTAATGCATGGTAAAAAAGAAGAAAAGGAAAAGCCAGAGTTCTCTCAGAGGTGGATGGCAAAAGCTGAGGGGCAACAAACATAATTTACACTGAGGCGAATTCTGATTACGTATCATGAAATATCTACATATGATAAAAATGCTCCACAAACAGGGCTTTAAAATGCTGAAATGTCTCGCCCAGACAGGCTATGGAATCTCTGTTCTGGGAGATTTTTCAAAACTGAACAGGAGAAGGCCTTTAGCCACCTGATCTAACCTTTGAACAGAGGCTGGGCCATATGAAAAATCTAAGAGCCAATTACGGCCCTGCTTCTGTGACTCTGTCAGAGAGGTGCACATACACAGATATGCTTTTATTGACTAATACTGGTTTATAGCTCATAAGAATACACGTTTGATAGTGAAAATAATAAATGGAAATGATGAAATATCTTTCATCGTCCTTTGTTCATTAAAAGCTATTTATAAGAGCACAAACCTGTAACATTCACATAGAAACACTCATCTTTTAAAAAGACAGTAGTTCTGTTTTTACGTGGCAGATGTAATTTCTTTTTATATTTAAACTCAAGTTCTGACATGAAATGGCTCTTTCATCTGAAAAAATTTCATCTTTGACTTAGAGGTTTATCAAGACAAAATGTTCAGTGCCTCTCTGAATTCTTTGTGTATACTACAAATATATAAACTAATTCAAAATATCTTAATCTGTTATAACAAAATAAACTTATTTATTTTTAAAGCCCAACTTTGCTGGGAAAAGAAAAAATCTATTGAAAATATTCCTGAAACCTAAAAATAATTCTTTATATAATATTGTTGAAACAGCATGTAACAAGTTCTGTTGATAAAATAGGTAATTTCAAAATGAAAAATATGCATTTATCTTCTCCAGTATTTTTCCTTTTGATAATCTTCCAGAAATGTCCCCAGAATGATACAGTGCCCATCACTTTGTTAGGTTGGTGCATGTATGAGTGACAGAATGCTAAAGTAAAAGGTGTGGTACCCAGTGCTTCACATTCAGTCTCTCTCATCACTAACACCTACTTTATCAAACAGTATTCCTTTACCAGATGATGATTCCTTTTTTTGAGTAATAGCAGTGGAGCTACAATTTTAGAATGGCTTTTTTCCCCTTTGGTGCAACTCTGATCTCGATGCATCATTTATATTCGTTTGCACCATGTATAATACACTGTAACACAATTGGATTTACTGGTGCTAGACAGAAGAACTCCTAACCTTTAATGTCAGCTGCATTAGCATATAATTTCATATCTATTTTCTCAGATTTATCATTTCACCTTTTACACTGCACAAAGCTAATGTAACTTCTGCTGATGCCACTGCAGACCGGTTAGGTTATTTTATTTCTAACCTTTGTGAAATGGCAATGTGCTCTTCAGAAGACCTAGAAAACTAAACTGAAATGAATTTGCTCAGTACTTTCCTCTGATTTCTGGTTGTTGGGGTTTTTTTTCCCCTTTACTTTTCTTTTTCATGCATTTTTTTGTTCCTTCCCCACTCCCTTTTTTAAAAAAAAATTCTCTTTAGGAACTCTAAGAGAGCAAAATAGTTAAAGAGTCAATTGCTTGCTGGCTTCAATTACATGTCAGCTGAAAGAAAGGCAAAATTCTTACACCAGATTTTAAAATATAATTTTTAAAATAAAATCTTTTCAAATGTGTTGCCTTGTTGTTAGGCCGACTGTGTCAGTGTTTCTCTTAAAGTATTGACACTGCTTGGAGTGATTTCTAATCTCTACTTGCCTTGAATATATATATTCATCCTGTCAACTTTTCTGGGTGACAGAATCTGTATTGTGCCATGTGTATTTGCTGTGCTGTTAAATTCTTCTTTTTAATTACATTTCATTAGGTGCTGCATTTCTTTCATCAACTTCCTCAAATTGACGAAAGAATTGTTCTCCATTTCCTCATTTTCTATCCTTGTTGCAAATGTTCAAACACATTTCCAATTATCCCAGTCTAAAATTCTTGTTTCTTTCAACACTTCTCATTTTCATTGGAAATACAAAGACACTTCTCAAATAGACTGTATTCCTTATACAATCCACTGTAATCTCCTTTATTTACTTATTTTATATCCCAGCTCTGGTTTTGCACATTGAACTGTGGTAGAGAACAGTAAAGGAAGATAAACAGATTCTCTAATTAATGCTGTAACTTTTCTTGAGGCAGTTTATTGAGCTAACAAAATCCAAAATACTAGACAAACGTGAGACAAAACAGATAATAGTGTTGGTTTGGGTTTTCTGTGGTGTTTGTTTGTTTGGTTTTGGTTTTTTTTAAAGCTACACAGCAAAAGTGGATTTTGAATCATTTATTTATCTGGTCTTATAGCAGAATGAATAGAGGTGACACGAATAAATGTCAATACCTTATCCCTTTTATTTATCTACTTTATAATGGGCACATCAACTGGTTTATAGATGTGACTAAGCCTTCTGCTGTAGGAAGCTCTCTTCACTCACACATTCACCAACAAGGATTTAAAACTATCCCAGTATTGATAAGAATATGGACTAGAAAACTAAGTTCTAAGCAAAAAATGTATAAAATGAAAGAGAAGATAGAAAAGAAATAAATAGATTTTATATGCAGCTCTTTCCTAGCTTGCTGCATCCTCAAAGGCAAATCCTTGCTGTTAGTTTTGGTTTTAGTCACCACTGACTTTTCAGCTACAGCAGACTTTGTCCAACTCCCCCTAGTCCCTGTGAGGTTTTCCTGATCACCTTTAAAGTCACCACCTTTAAAGACCATCACCATCCTTGCTTTGGCTGTAGATTCCCAGTTTCCCAGATGAAATTCCCTCAATTGCTACATCCTGACTTTTCCTCACCAGAGCAGGCCCCATAGCTCCCCTATGGAAAGTGCAAGCTCCTGTCTCCTCCAGATGGTCCTGCCTCACCTGGTCACTTTATTTTGAGGGGTGTAATAAATAAATAACATAAATCTGGCAACTGACTGCATCAGACATACATCATATTAGAATGGCAAAGAGAAACGGAAAGGTAAAATATCAGGGGTGAGTGGTGTGACTGTGATAACAATAATCCACAAAACATTTTTCTATTGAGCCTCACAATTGAGTTTATTGTGCTGAACAGAGTTCTGAGCAACTCAAAACATCCGTTTTTACCATTTGAAGAAACAATAAAAAGATGGTTATATGGCCATTTACAAGCAATTACCTTGTCTATGTACTATCACCTGTTCATTTCATGACTCAACATGAGAAACTTTACAAACACAAATTAAAAAACATAATTCTAAAGAATGCATAGTTTTGGCAGTTGGACCGAATTAGACCAAAGTCCTTTTAAATACCTTTAACTTCTTTGTCGTTCTTGAACCATCTGATATCAGCTGCTGGTTTACTACCAGATGTCTTGCAAGTGAGCTGCATCCTCTCTCCCTCCATAACTGGTGAGGTAAATCCAGTAATTTGTGGCTTCTCAGGAACACCTAACAAGCAAACAAGCAAAATGTCTCTGATAAGAGTCAGCTACTGCCATGAGTACATGACCAACTTAAAGTTCACTTCTTCATATGCTCTAAATTCTGGAAACAGGATAATTAATTCCTCGTGCCTTGTCAGTGAAGCCTTTTTCCTATTGTAAATAAACTATCAGTCTGAACAGTAGTTGATTCTAAATAAAGAAAGAAAACAGAAATTAACCTGGTTTTCCAAGAGAAACAGATTGCATTTTAATAAATATCTTATCTATGTATATTCTGCATGTGGGTCTAGTCTGACTTGTTATAGTGTTTAAACCACTCTGCACAGCAAGCAGGATGACAAAGCACATTAGAAGCACAGCTGTGAGAATGAAACACAACTGGCAACAAAAAGCTGAGCTGACCTAAGTTCAGAACAAATGTTTAAACCCGAATAATGAAGACTTTAATACAAAATCCAGGGAAAAGGGAGGACGAACACAAATACAGGAGTCACTTTATCTTCAGTAAACACAAAACCAAAACATCGAGAGGTATAATCAGAGCTCCATTGGCCATGGGAAGTTCTTCGGCTGAATCCAAGTCCTTTGGAAGAGGTCACGTGATTTTGACAAACCATACACATCATATTAAATTTGGCAATAGTGTTTTTTCAATGAACCATGAATAATTTAAAAAAAAAAATAACAAGAGAATTGGGAAAGTTTTGATCGCTACCTATGTAAATCCAATTAACTAATGAAAACACAAGAATAAGTTATTTCAAAATAATACTGGTGACTGTAATTTTAAAATATCAAAAAATGTGAGTTATAACTTGCACCTACAGTGCTATGAGGCATTCATATTTGTGGCTAGATAAAGGGATCAGTCACAGTAAGTGGTCCTATGCCCTGTATTTCATAATTTGTTTTTTTTTACATCTCTTTACCAAAACAACAGATTATATATATAAAAAGAAAGCAGCAGTACCTATTACATAGTACATTTCTGTAATAAATCTATTCCTCTCTTTCAGGACAGGAAATGGTGTCTGCTATAATACCTTGACACTTAAATTTTCTAATCAATAACAGAGCAGTCAATAAAGACATTATTAGTACATAAAAGGATAGTTTATCTGATTAAAAGATGTAATACATTTCAATGGAAAAGTTCCCCTTCTACAACAGAAAATGTTCAAGGAGTTTAAAATGTTATTTTGAAAATTACAAATACAAAATGAAAAAGACAGGAATCTTAAATGCTGCAGCTTTCTTTCTTGGAAGGTAAAGTAGCTGATCTTGGTAAAACTCCATGAAACTGTCCCCTAAAATGAAGATAAAACTTACAGGACTGTGAAAGATCAAGTTACTTTTGTTAATAAATACTGACTAGATGGGCTTTTTTTGTCTTTGTAACACCTTTCTACATCTTTCTGCCATTTAACATGTTGAACTGGTGTATTCATCAATTGCTTAGATCATGAAATGCCTTTCTACAGAAAGGAAGATTAAGCACAGGCAGTTGCTATTCCAGAATATTCTGCTTTCAGCGGGTACTTTTTGTCCTTAATGGCAAACTTGTGAAGTTTCTTATAAAATAGTCTCATAGGGACTGAAAGGGAGACATGTTTCATATCCTAAGCACAAAACCAATTCCCTGGCTGGATTAATGTGAGTATTACTGGCACAGAGAATACCTTACATTAGTCCTATTAAATTCAACTGTCTGCCTATCTACGTATAAAAATAAAACAGAAGGAAAGAAAGAGTCATGTTCAGGGACAGAAAAAAAAAAAGGAGAAAGGAATAAAAATCAATCTCTAAAATCATATAACCTCTTAGGTGTGCAGGTGTGTTTCAATGAACTACAGCAATTTTGGCTGATTGGGCTACTGACATTCAGAGAATCATATAAAGCTTCGAGCAGAAACTTTATTTCCTGGGCATCTCTTGAAATCTATTGCTTTTCTATGTGTATCTATAACCTTTGGGGAAAACAGCAGAGCACTTAGAGGATAAAGCACAAAAGAAGCAGCAAACCCAGTGAAAATTTGCACTTTATAGACCAAAAAAAAAAAAAAAAGACAGCAGAACGAGCCAAGAAAATGCACAGCTAAGGAAAAATGATAAAGCTCTAAAGCCCGTTTTGATTTCATGCTTTCTGATTTTCTCCTCTTTGCCCTGTACAATACGTTGTTAGGAGATGAACACATGCACCTTCCTCGCACTTCTGGTGCTCGGGATGTGGAGGTTATGTCCATTTTATGGAGCACTCACACCTCAGTGTTTGTCTGCTCCCTAATTCATTATCCTGCCACAGCGCAAACAGTAAGAGGCGTGTTATTTTTCAGCACGGCAATATAAAACAATAAACATCAGGGAAACCAGATCAGACGTTTACATTTATCTTCTGCCAAGCTTCAGAAAAGTTCATTCTTATCATAATTTGCCAAAGCCCGAGGAGTTTAACACTTGCTTCTTTATACTCACCGAGGACGGTAAGAAAAGCCTTGGAAGTTTTGACAGGCATAGTGAACAAAGAGCAGGTGTACTGCCCTTCATCTGACAGGGACACGTCGCTGACACTGATACTCAGCTCGTGCCACGAAGCTCGGACCAGCTCGATTCTGTTGTCCCTCAGAGCTGAAAAACAAAAATCCATGTTAAGGTAGGACACAGAACGTTTACAAAGCACTGCGTGTTATCCAAGTGAAGTATCCCAGTGAAATCAGGCCCTAGGACATGGGGATATGGACACAGTTGTCTATGCACGGTAGTTTGTTTTCTCTGTGGAATAAAGTATGAGAGTTTAGCAAGTTTTTGGGTGGTGTACTGAGTGGCTTGCAACATATATAAACCTAGAAATTAAGTGGCTTGAGTTACCTTTGACCTTCCTCTGAAAAACCCAACACTGACTTTGATTTCTGTCCCCTCACAGCTTTGTCCAGTGCCTAAAATAAATCCTTCCTGTACTCAGCTTCTTTTTCATGTATTTACAAATGTTGACAATCCTTTATCTACCATTGCATAGTTTGCTTACAGATTTTTCTCATGTCCACTACTACTCATATTGACCTGGAATATCAGATTCCCTGAATTCTGTAACGGGGTATTTCTTATTATGAATAGATTGAAAATTCCACTTCTGCATGCATATATAGTACATTTAACGATTCAAGGTAATTGAGTATAAGTGGCCTTACTTTTTGGATTATGACTAAAATTATGATCTTGTATCATAAAATCCTTTCTATAAAATTTTATTGGCATGAAACCAATGAGGGAAAAGAAACATGTAGATTCACTCACATTCAAAATGTCGTTTTAGTTAATGCTTTAAAATTTAAAACATTTTAAAACCTATATTTATATTAATCCCCAAATTCTATGGAAAACCAGCCAAAACATTCTCAAACTTTCTATTTATCTGCAGTAAAGCTGTTTCAGGAATCTGCATGTATTAATCAAGACTTTCCATAGCATAGAAATACTAACATCATAAGTAAGTAAACACTGTTATTCTCCTAAGAAAAACAATAAAAAAGCCTATGTAACTCAGAGAGTTTAGCTGTGTACCTCTAGATTCAAATATCTGACCTGGCAGTGGTGGAAACTTCAGGTACTTTTTGTAGTAAACTTCTGGAAATCAAGAGTAAATTGGGACTATGATATTTTTCAGGAGAGTTATGCTTGCATTTATGAGAAGAACCAAGAAGTTCAAGTCCCTAATGCTGTTCTCACTCACCTCTTTCTAAAGTCCCCAGAGGCTCTTAGTTTTGTCTAACATATATGTCTTCCAATGATAAAAAACAACAACAAAAAAGTTTTACTGTGGTTCTTTTGCTACTAAACCTAGACATTTCTTCCCCATTGCTGTTCAAGTCAACCCAGGAAGATTTACACCAAAATAAGCAGTGAAGGTTCAGCAAAAATGTCACTTGAATTTGTTTTCTTCTAAGGCTCCCATTCAGGGTTTGTTGGTTTTTTTCTCCACCAGGAATTTTCAGCTGAGTTTACTGATTATTTCAGGGTAGGGCAGCCAAAGCTTGACTCCCTCTCTGCAGGGTCTGACGACTGAAAGGTGACAGCTTCAGCAGCCCTAACACACAGTCATGCCATGAACTACTTCAAGGCACATCAAAGTGACCGAGATTGTGGAATGGACACATTCCAAGCGTAACTGAGACATTGGCTGGATGGCCACAACAGGAAAAAAGTAGTTACGTAGTCTAAAATATAAAAATGCATATAATGGTGAAAATAGGAGCAACGTTAAAGCAAACAAGCGAGCAAAACAGAGGCCACAAAATGAAAAGCTGTGTATGCCAATATGCTGGCACAACAACCAAGAAAAACAAGCTCAGGAAAACAAAAAGTACATAAAGCAAGCATCTACCAACCCCAAGCAGCAGGCAAAGCTGATGACTGGGGCTTTACCAGCCAAAACTCCTCACAACAGTGAAGCTGTTGCTATCTTTGAGGAAGTAGATAGGGACTCTTTAGCTTTTCAATGCTAGTCAGATGCAAACTGAGCAGACCTCAGAATGGTAGTTTATTTCACATTACTGACCTTCCCCCAGAAAAGTTATTTTCAAAATGACTCAGTGCTTCCAAATGGTTTGGTTACCACCACACCCATTTATAAAATTTGGCAACAACATAGAAAAAAAACAAAAAACAACATAACAACAACAACAACAATAAAACAAACAAACAAACAAAAACCAAGCAAAAACAAAACACCTAGAACAACAAAACACCTCTCAGCACTACATAATTTGAAAGTGGTGATTTTTGCTTCCCCTTAATCAGAAACTATCTAAAAAATAATGCAGCATATCATATTACATAGTATTTTACTTTGTTATAATTTCCAATTGTTACTGCCTTGTGACAAAGATGATAATCTTTATTGAAATATTTGTTGAAATACTTTCCTACAGATGGGGCAACAGGCAGAATTTCATGCACTAGGAAGAACAGTAATGAATTGCACTAGAGCACAACTGGCCCACAGATGATGCCAATATCACACCATTTCAATCCTACAATTGAAATACAAACCATTTCCATCAACTACATTCCTACTACCCCCCCTCCCTCACGTCCTCCCCTCCATACCTTTTTTAACCTTTGTACAATATAAAAAACCTCAGCTGAGTCAATTTTCTGTAAAACCGGTAAAAACAGCCACTGGTCAAGAGATGAGATCAGATGTTCCATGTTTCAGTCTGGAGTGAATTTTTGTTGAAAGAACAGAAGGGTTGTTTTGTAATGGAAATACCAATACAGAGCCTTGCAATAAATGCTGCAAATAGCACCAACATAATACTCCTTTGCAGCAAAGCTGTTTGTCAGAAGCATTTTTGTAAGTGCTAAGTCCAAAGACTATTAATTATCTGTGCCATCACTTTCAAACCTACACATCTGTAAGTTTTCCTGTCTACGCAGATGTGAGTGCAAACCAAATTTTACTGCTATTGCTTAGACAAGGCCAGCACTTAGAGACTTCTTAGAATCTTATTTTCAAGTTGTATTTCTCTATCTGTTTGTATCTGTTTAGAAAGACATCACTGAAGTGATAGCTGTGAGGGATGCCAGAACTGGTTTGCTTCCATTTTCTGTGTTAGATATATTTGGCTAAAAGGGCAAAGTTGGATGACAGAAAGAGTGGCTGCCTGTCTAGTCCTGGCTCCTGCACCCTGGGGCAGACAGAGCCCTCTGGGAGAGGATGACTGGTTCCCTTAGACAGCAAAGGAAACATCAGCAATGTTGGAGAAGCCAGGATTTCTGGTCAGCTCCCGAAATCCAGGCATCGTGACTGAGTGGAGTAGGGTCTTGAGCACCACAGAGAGTAAAGTCTTCCCAAGTCTGGCTGATGAAGCAAAGAAGCCCGTGGAGCCCAGACAGAAGCCAGCTACTCAAAGGTACCAGCTGCAAAGCAAAAGTTTTAAGGAGAAGACACACTCTGCAAGGAGCTACTGGACAAGAAGGGGATTTATTTACAATTACTATTCAAACTCCTTCAGCATATCTTAGTTCTACTTATTTAATGACCTATCTCATTCAGGTTATTTTTTTCTTTCTAAAGGACATGAGTTTCCAAAACTTTCTGTATGCTTTTTAATTGCTCTTATTTGAATGGAGAATTGCCCCAAAAGAGGGCAGTTTCACTGCAAATTTTAAGCCAACTTGAGGCTCCACCGTAGTAGTTGAAATAAAGTTCCGTAGAGTAAAATACAAAATGTTCTCTTTTATTTAATTAGCAGATGAAAACAAAAAGTAGAACACACATGGGGACATTCTGCATGAATTTGGAGTTTGGTACACACTGGCAAACAGACTAGATTTCCTATATACTGAAATGTCTATTCATTGTTCAGCACTTCATAATTTGAAAGGGGTGATTTTTGCTTTCCCTTAATCAGAAATTATTAAAAATAATGCAGTACATCTTCTTACATAGTATTTGAGTCTTGGAATGGTTACTGCAAGTGACAAATGTCGGTATTTCAAGCCCACCACAAACTATTTATTAGTTGTATTATGGTAGCAACTAGACAGCACAGGTGCTGGGCACAGAAAATAAAGCTTTATCCTTAGAGACTCTACAAGCTCTGTCCTCACTTGACTTGCATGGTTTCCAACCCCCTCTCCTACCTCTGCCTGCTCTTTCAGGACTTTCTTTGGAAATTGTTTCTTTTTTCCATTTCACTTTGTTAGAAGCCAAACAGACCTTTCTGGCCTCTTCCTGGGGATTTTAACCTACATTCCTGAATCATTATCCTATCCATAGTTTGCATCCCTATACTTTGCATGACACAGAGATGCTAGAGAAAGGGTAAATAAACAGAATATGTATTTGACTCCTGGGAAATACACATATGCCAAAACAGTAACAAAGAATACCAGCACTGACATCTCTTCTGTATTCTTATGTTGCAAGCCCTTTAAAAAATACAAAATGTAACAAGAAATATAATTGCATAGTAAATTCCAATATGCCCTAAGTACATTATTTCAGTTTTCTGTAATTCCCAGGCACATATAATGTAGTTAATTTGCAAGGCATGAAATAATTATGCATAAAACACTTGTTCCTAAGCAGACACACTTCATTTATTTTACCTGTCATTCTCTTCTCCTGTGGAAAAGATTTTCTTTCAGAATGTTTTCTGACACAGAAAAAAGCAACCTTGATAATTTGCATAGTTTAGGTAATTATGAGTAAAAGATAGCCATGTATTTCAGCTGTATTAATTAGGAATTGTTGAGATTGACAACCACTGCAATAAACTGGTCTCCTTGTTCACAATCACAAAAAGCTGTACTTTACTTTTTGCAAAAAAAAAAAAAAAGATCCTATGTTGTCATAGGGAAATCTTGCAAGAGGAATTATATTGAAGAGAGAAAAGAAACTTAAAAATTCTCAGAAATGGAAAAAAACGTGGAAAAGAAAAATTTGCAGAAATGGAAAAATCATCCACATTTCACACTGTGGGGAAAAGGCTGTTGGACCTGTCAGACATAGCCACACAGCAACATCTCTAATGTTACTTCATCTAAAATGACCACATCTTCCTAGTATTTTGAGTCATTTATTTGAAGAATGGGGGGGGGGAAAGCCCAAACAACAAAATCCC